TTGAAAGATATGAATTGTCGAGATTATCATTGATCATCATGAGAACCCGATAAAAGTATCGAACTTGGTTAATCTTATCAGGAAGACATTCGAGGATTCTGGTTGAATTCAGTAAATGATTTTTCTTCTCTCCCATGATAATCTCCATGCTCCATAAATGATGATGATGATGAAATTCTCAGATTATTATCAGGAAAGGTTGATTATTTCTTCGAATAATCGAAGTAAAATTGTCGAAAAAGGTTCTAATGGTTTCGATCAAGTGGAAAGGGATAATTTTCGTTACAATGTTCGAGAGGTGCAAACATTTTTCACCAAAGTCATCACAATTCATTCTGAATACTATTCCAAACTCTTACTCCAAATTGAATTAACTATTTTATTGTTAATTTCTACCCTCCAAATAACTAATGAATAACTTTAATTGTTACAATAAAACACTTTATTCATCAGTAGATTAATCACTTTGAGCTTTTCTTCATGAATCGTTCAGTTGAATTTCAAGTTATTCAAGTAAATATTGAATTCATTAGAATAAAAAAAAGAACTCAAGTTTTCAGGTTAGGTTAATATTCATGTTAAGAGTGACAATCAAGAAACGTAAATGATGATTATGGTTTTCATGAGATACGATTTCCATGAAAGTTTTCAAGATGAATACAAAAACAAAAGGAAAGTAATGTAAGAATGGTGAATATTATCATTTACAAGATGAATTACTGATTCCAACCTGAATCATGGAAATAAAATTACCATGTTCTCTGTTTTTTAACACCCTGGAAAACCAGAATTCTAGGTTATAATATTTCCGAATCAAAGTGAATAATGATTCCATTGTTATTACTTATTGTCTATTTATTAGACTTTATCTTATTCCATCATCTTCACATAATCTCAAAGTTCTGGCTCAGTTTTATTCCTTTCATATTCTTACTATTATCTTCATCTTTCATACTTTGTGTCCTCTTTAACTTATCCTCATCACTTTATCATTTTCTGACAAATGATGAGGTTTTTTTTCATAACATTACATTAAAAGTGTAACAAAAGAAACGATTCTAAATGTATTCAAGTTGTTATTCTGTTTGGAATCCATTTTTTTCAGATTCTCTCATGAATCCAATTCTATGGACTAATTTACTATCGATTGTAATTATTTTAATATCGAGTACACTTAATGATAGCACTAGACCTCACATGATATTGATTGTTGATCTCAAATGGTTTGTTGAACATGTCAATTTGATTGTAAATGAATCACTCTGATTAGTATGATGCAAGAATTTTATCATGATGGTCAATCAATGGCGATTCTGTTGCCAGTATCATCAAAGTGAAACAAATTCAATCAGCAAATAAATAAAATCATCTGAACCATGAAAAGTTTCAATCTATCAAACCAAAACTGAGCAATTTATTAATTAGATAACAATTTATCACTGTAATAATATCATCAACAACTAACGATACAGTTTAGTTGCCTAAGGCAATTACCGGAAAACTAATTAATTGCATTGTCACAATCTAATGATTGATTTTACAAGCCAACAAATCACAGCAATTTAAATCATTGTAATCATGGTTTTCCTAATCTTCTCAAGTGATTAGTTTAAAATGAAAAGTTTAATCTGATTTAATGTTAATTGTATGTTACTCATACGTATAACTTAACGTAATCAAGGTAAATTGGTTAATCAAAAAACTGATGATTCTTGTGGTAATTATAATGTCGACAGGTAAGCAAAAAAAAATAACATTAAACTAACAGAAAAAAATTGATTCAGTTGAATGAATAAAATTTGATAAAATATAAGATATGATGTTTGTTTCCTATGGAAAAAAAAGTTCTAGGATGAATGTGATTACCCTGGAGGGTGAATTGTGTATATTTGTGTTGATATAAAACGATAACAAATAACAGAGATATTATCATGATAATTCTGGTTGATTTTCTAGATGATAATGATTAGAGAGACTGCAATTACATAGATACCTTGAGAGATGATGAAAAGTTAATACAACATTGGGAATGATTTTTTTTCCTCATGATAAATTTATCTTATCGATGATGATGATAAGTCCAATGATGTTTTCACAACCCCTGAGGCTACTCAATGTCAACTTGTCATTTTCATCCAACCAACAATCAGTTTGTTATCCCAACAACAACAACAACAACAACCCCCACTGCTTCCGACTCCACCTACGCTTTGCCTTCTTAATTCACCTTAACCTTTTTAAGAATTTTCTGAGTTCAGAACTTTTTTTTTCCTTCTAAAATAATCAATCAAGAATTTAGGTAAACAATCAATGTTGAACAATTTAAATTCCATACGCTTATTGTAAACACTTTCAGTGGATAATCAATAATTTATTGCCTTTTCTGCTTAACTTGATTCTTCGTGTTTGATTAGATTTAATTGTGACAGCAAATTCTCAGAACTCAAAGTATTTATCCAAACATTTAAACCATTCCACCGATGATAAGTTTTCATAGAAAACTCGGAAACTCGAAAAAATTGAATCGATATTTTCTCTCTTTCATATTAATCAGTTATTTCAATAGCGTCAACTTATATTCTGGCGATTCATTGATAAGAATAATGAATAAAAAGCAAGAAAAAAAATCGGAAACTGATCTGGTTGAGATAAATTCGTTTCATCATCATGAAAGGACTGAAAATAATTGTGCTGGGAAATTATTATCATCTTGTATTCAGAGTTATGAAGATTATCATGAATGTTACTCAGGAAAATCAGAAACTCAGATGAAACAATTGAGGTGAAAAAAATCTCAAGATATTAGTTAACATTTTCAGCAATTTAATCATGATTCTTATTGTATCTTCAATTGTTATTAGATAAACAATCAAACTAATTGTCAGTTAATAACAATGTATATTTATAGTTGACCTTTTTTTGGCTCAAATAAAGTAATTAACTTAATCTAAACTTGAATAATCAACTCTCTCATTGATTATATTGATAAAATGATGATACACATGATGGTAATTAGTTGATTACAATTAACCTTTTATCAAGGTTTCCAAAGATTAGCTCAACTGAATCAACTTAATCATAATTAGAATTGTTTTCCTTTATTTAAAATTACATATTATGATACCAATACAGTATAACAATTAATTTTAATTTCCATTGTTTTCCATTGTAATTTAATTGCGATTGACTAATTTACTAATCATCTATTGTCTGTAAATCTAATTTTAAATTGTGATGGCTCTTAAATCACATCAACTAAACAATGTCATCAATTAACTGTCAACCTTTTCACCAGATTCTCAATCTAGACTTTGCATATTTCATCAACAATTTAATGTTGATTTAATATATTAACTACTCTACGATTAGATTGCAATTAATTTTCATCACAATTACGTTAACATGTTTTGTTAATTTGCAAGAACTTTTTTTATTTCTTTCATGATTAGAATCACAATTAGCATCATGATGGTGATACTTTACATTCTAATGAGATTGTGTTTTCTTAATTTCCAAAAAGTTCTGGAAATTGAATTGAATTTATTAGTTTTCCATCATGAAACTCAAATCAGTTCATTATTTTCCCTTCAAAGATTTACCATGGGTTCTGTTAGTTAATCAATTGTTTAACAATTAACTTGATAAGTAAATGTATAATGATCATATTAACCTATTGTCTTATGATTAGTTTATGATTGGAAATGAATTGAGATGAATGATTATTGATTTAATTCATTCATCAAATTAACTATAAAAATAAACATAAACCTGGAAAAATGCACAAAATTGATTTTCTTTAGTTTTGAATTGCTAATGTACATTTAATTGTTTCGATTGGTTTTAGTCATCACAATCAACTGATTGCCAACATTATCTCAGGTAATGATTGTCAAATAAGAGAGATAATAACAATAAAAGCAGAAGAAATGTAATTGCAATCAAACAATTTACAGATAATCAATCAACCATTTACGAGGGTAAAAGGTGGAATCTCAAGATCACCCTGAAAATGATCATCTAAAATTCAAGATTAAACTATTAATATTATCATGATCAACACTGAAAAAGACAGAATCATGAATGACATTGAAATAATACAATTTGATCACTTAATTGTCAACCCATTTATCTATGCAAACACTATTAAGTAATGAAAGGTGATAATTATTACCTAATCACAAGTAATTAATACAATCCTTTAGTTAATTGCAAACAAATGATAATAAAAGCAATCAAAGGCAGAAATCATTTCCAATCAAGGTAAATGTGATCAATAAAACAATAAACTCACAAGGCTTTAACCTTGTGTTAATTAATAAGACAAAAAGTAACATGAATTTATCATGTTTCCCTGGGATTGAATTGAATTGTTGTTGATTTAAATTGCAATTGCGACTTCAAGATGAAGATGATTATTATTATTACGATTTTGTCATCTTCCATCTTGATATGAAAATATTGTGAAGGAACAGAAAGAAAACCCTTGGCAAATTCTGTGGGACTTTACATTGGAATCTAATTTTAGCGCCATTTCGCCATTTCAACCATCTAAATGATATCAACTCGTTCATTTTAATATCAAGAGTAAAAGTCTAAGGGAAAATAATTAGACCATCGAAGGCGAGAATGTCTAATATAATTATGAATGTATTTAAATGTCGCTTATTATTATGTCTCAATGATTTCTCTTCATGTAAATTGTGAGAGCGAACAAAAAATTGTTGCTTCATGTTGAGAATCTTTTTATAACACTGATTCAGGTTTATAATTAGTTCTTGCAATTAATGCGGTTAATTAGATGAAGAATGAAAATGGAAGCTGAGAAAAGATGATTAAGAATTAAAAGATTGCCCTAGAAATTTATTATAATCATGGGTTGAGAGTTTTTCTTAATGTATATTCAAATATGATGAAGTGTAATCGTCATTAAAATTATGATGATGATCATGATTGATTATGTGTACATTTGGTGTAATACAAGGTGACAATTAATGACTTACCGTCTTGATCAACTAAAGTGACCATGTTTTTGAGCTCAGCTTCTGTTGCCCGTTGACCTAACGATCTCATCACGATTCCCAATTCTGTTGATGTTATCCGTCCATCCAGATCTTTATCAAACAATTTAAAGGCCTCTTTAAATTCAGCTATCTGTTCCTGGGTTAGGCCATATTCAGCCTGAGAATAGGCAATCAAATGATTAACCAAACAAAGAAAAATAAATCATTCTAATCAAGTAAACCAAGTAAATCAAATCAAAAGTATTAATATCAACACCATCATCTAAATCCTATGGGGAGGAAAACAGGGTTTCCAATTTGATTGGTATGAAATTGTTCATGGTAATAAATTGATTTAATATCTCGTAACTAATATGTAAATTGTTGGTTAATTTTGATTATTCTGTAATTTAAATTATCCACCAGGAGGGACTTTGATTATGTTAAGGTTTCCAATGACTTTTAGTTTGACTCGTTAAATTCAGTTTCAATGTTGAATTTGGTTCTAAGCCAAGATATTTTTTTTCTTCATTTCTCTTGCTTAACTGTTTGATCTTCGTCATCTTCATCTTCATCTTCATCTTCATCATCTTCTCAGCATCTTCCACATACAAACATATTCAGTGTAAGTTTTATAATTAACATCAATGGTATCACTTGAATAAACTCTTGGGCTGAATACATGTTACCAAGGACAATGTAACGGGTGAAAGGTTTACGGTTTTAAATCAACAATCAACTAATAGTGAATTAATAACAACAATATAATAACAATTTACCATAATAATAACAAGGATAATATAATAACACAAACTTATCATTATCTTGGGGTTACAATGATCATTTGATTAATACAATTTCCAATACAACTACATGTATATGTTAATCAAAGGGAATCAAGAAAATGAGATTAACTGGGAAAAAAAGTTAATTTCTTATTCTGATTGTTTGTTTATCGTCAATTGTTAACGATCATTATTATTACTGTTATTGAACTTGATGATAATAATTGTCTATTGATTGATTGATTAACTGTTGATTAGACTTACCTGTAAATTAGTATCACAAGAATCAGGATGCATGGAGTCGTTTAACATTAACTCCAAATGGATTAAAGATGTAGATTTATTAATCAACTTAATTAACACACTCACTAAATTGTTATTTAATCACTAATCAGCTATTAGTTAAGATTGATAATCTAATCGATTGATTGGTTGATAATGATGTTGATGGAGAAACAATTAGTAAATATAAGAGAAAGAAAGAAAGAGAAAAAGTTTGATTAGATTGAAAATTAATTCCAAGTTGATTATTGATGATTGATTGTATTCGATTAACTTTCTTTTTGGTTATTATTATTAATTGTCACCAAAATTAAAAGGTTTCAATCCACTAAGATTTAATTCCAAGTAACAATCAAGGTAAAAAAGTAATCAAATGATTAACTATTTACCTGATCTTTTGATGATTGTGAAAACAAAAACAAATCCTCAGGTAGATTTAAACTCGTCGAGAGTTAACTGTTAATTATAATGTTGATTAACTAATTGTTGAGATGATGAGAGGGTTGATGATGACAAAGATGATGATGATGAAAATGATGATGATGATGAAGATGAAGGTAATTTGTATTAATAATAACGAACAATATAAACACTGACAACACAATAATCAAGTTGATTGTTGTAAACCTTGTATCCAACTGTTGCGAGTTTCAATTGCCAACAACAACGAAAAAAAAATTTTTCATCTTCTATTTCTCTCTTACTCTCTCTCTCTCTCTCATATCTTCCTATGTCTCACTTTTTTCTCATCATCATCTTCACTCTCTCTCTCTCTCTCTCTCTTTGTTTCTCTGTTTTATTTTATCTTCTTAGAACAAATTTAGATCTTCCAATGTTGTTATTTCTTCGAACTCAGTTTCTCTTAGCTTCAAATGCTACAGACAAAAATAAGTTATCATTGATTCTCTATGAGCATTCTCAGTCTCTTTTCATCATCTTTTCTCTCTCATCATTTTTATCTTCATCTATCATCTCTCTCTCTCTCTCTCTAGTTTCTCTTTCTCTCTTTCTTTTGCTTCCTCTTACGACGAATCAGCAACAATTGAATTGAACATTTTTCGTTCCAACGATATGTTCATATATGATAACTTACTTTTCTTCATTTTTAATCAATCTTCTCATTTACGATTCAACTTTTGGAGTTAATTGTTAATCTCTATTCCTTTCTAATTGTTGAAAGTTTAATTTTTTGTTTTCTTCATCCTAATGGTGTTGATTGTTAATCGAGTTCGTAAAATAAATAGTTGATTTTTTGGTATTACGTCAATGAAGTTAAAGAGGATTTGAGTTAATTGTTACCATTAACGGTAAAACAAACAAAAGTAAATTACTTTTTGATTGTTTACTTTGATGTTTAGGTTTTCAGTTAATCAATCCCATATAATCAGTTGATAAACACAATATACTTTTTATAATTAACAATATTCAACCTAATGGTTTACTATTTTGATTGTTACATTGATGATAAACATTTCTGATTAATCATCATCATCAAAGTAAATGATTAACTATCATCATGATTGTTCAATGAACATTAATATTGTAACATCTATTTTTGGTCTATTATGATTTAGCTAAATTGGGAAGCTTATTAATCATTAATGATGTTAATCAAGAACTGAATTAAAAGTAATTATTTCATTTTCATCAATTAAATTAATGTTTCCTGTTTCTGCTAATCGTTTCTGTTACATGATCTCTCATCAAATTAATTGTCTATTATTTTGCTAATTGTTTCAAGTTAATTTCCACAATTTTTTCTTCATTACTTTTAATTCATTAAACAATTAACTCTAAGTGATTAAAATTTTCTCATTTGTGTTTAATTACTTGATTTAAAATTCTCATCAGGAATATCATCACCATCGCCATCTGATGAGACAATTATGATATCAACACTGAATCAATATCGATTTTAATTGATAACTGATTAGTTTTATTTTCTGTAATTTAAATTGTTTTACAATTAAGGAGAAATTGATTTAGCAAAATATTTTACAATTAAGAAAAGTGATTAACAAATGGAATGGAAAACGATGTCAATTAGTTTAAAAGTTGATTACGTTCATTTTGTTGATCATTTGATTTAAAGTCCGATTTTTGTGTCGTTTGATTATCTTGTCTTGATTGTTATCATGATTTAATTGTAAGCAAAAAATTGATTAGTTAAACACAAAAGGCTCGAATGTGTATTCATTTGTTTGGTCTTATATCACAGTCTCTAAATGAACACCGGAAGGACCATGATGTTCAAATGTTAGTAGTTGTCGATTCTCATCATCAGCTTCCTGTTAATTTAAAGACAGAAACAATTAGTTTTAAAGGATAATTAATTTTCTAATCAATTAATTGCTACCTCTTTTATATATTTCTCGGTTCCTTTCTTGTTTTCCAAGCAAACTCGATGGTGACCAGAATACAAGCTACAGCTGATCCAAGTAGTAGGACAATTAAAGTACCGCCAATGTTTCCGGGTTGTAGTTTATTAATATCTTGCAACGATCTGAGGATTGAACATTCTGATGGAAAAGCTGAATTTTGAATTCTTTCTTGTTCTGGTTGATCATGAAACCATTTTGTTGTTAGTCGATCGATTGTTTGACTTTCTCGAAGTTTCAAAATGGCCTCAGTCAGTAACTCTTTATACGGTGAACCAAAAGGCAATCCTATTCCGTATCCACGATCATCAAGTGGAGCACCAATTTGGCTTAAATTACAATGGCGATTGATATAATACATAATCGACGTGGATTCCATGAAAAAAGCATAATCTTCGTTGAGAGCTCGTTTCAATCCTTCCTCATTGGTTTCGACAAAAACGGACGAAGTTGTTGAGCTCATTACGCTGATTAAACGCTGATGAATTGGATCTGAACTTTGCTATTAATATAAAATAGACACAAAAATCAAATGATTAGCTAATTGTGGAGGTTAATTTAGGAAATTGTGACTTGGATTTACTTTAAAAAAGTTATACGTTGCTCCATTTTTGACACAACCAAATTTAATCTTCGTTTGTTGTATTAAAGTCTCAATACTTTCAATGGGTTTTTCCAATTTCGCTGAGGTCAAAAAAGCGGCAAGATTTGCCGTGTAAGAGGAGACGATGATCAGTGTGAAAAACCACCAAGATGTTGCCAGAATCCTGGTTGAAATTGCCCTGAAAATAAAATAAGATAAAGATCAAATGAATTGAGACAATTGTATCATTCAAGTTACCTTAGGCTTAAATCTGATGATTGTTGCATAATTGAACACAAGGTAAACCAGGCACAGTTTGAGAAATTGAAATTGTTTTTAGCCAACATGACGTTTTTTGATTTGGTCCGAGTAACTGAATTGTTAGCTGATTGAATTATAATCAATGACGTTTGATTACCATTTGGATTCTTATTTACAACTAATGAACTTTCATCAATGATCCATTCCAATGGACTGAATCGGCCCAAAAAATGCATCATCAATGTAACCCAAAGAGAGGCCAATCCAATTGAATACCAAAGTTGAAATGAAAATGGATTAAGAAAAGCAGTTAAACTTGTCACTTGGTTTTCTGACTTTCGAGCGATAATTGAGATGCCAAAGTTAATGAACGGAATAGTGAAATCGATCTGCTCTTGTCTCTCTCGAGTTATCGTTAAGTCTCCAACGGCAAGATCAGCTTTTTGATTGACCAAGTTGCCGATAACATCGTTCCAAGTCCCGTTTCCATACGGTAATCCATAGGATCCATCATGACCAAGAAAAATTGTATAACCAGAAAAGTTCAATTGTCGCTGTAAATCATCAAGTAAGTCGATGATAAATCCTTCAAATTTATCGTTTCCTATCATCTTTTCATGATTACGTTTCAACATCAAATAAGGTCGACCCTGTGATGAAAATGAATAGCAATTAGTAGGCTAATATATTTTGATATGATTGGAGAAAAGAAAAAAAGTTTTACCAGAATCGAGTTAACTCTGAATATCTTTCGCCGTAACTTGTCAACCAGAGTGACCTTTGATTTCGGAAGATTTTCATTGATGATTAGGTTCATTTCGTTATTCCAATAGCCAATCTATGAGAATCGTTATTATTGGCATGAGAAAGAAAGAATATCATTTAGAAATAATGTCATCTAGGAAAAAGAAATCAAGGCAATAAAGACTAATGACGAAATGAGAAAGAAAAAATCTCCAGAGACTTAGATGAACTGGATTGAGATTCTAAAAGGTTAAATAGTTTCCAGATAATCATCATCACAGATTAAATTGAGATAATGGAAGTTGAATCAAAGTCGATTGCTCAGTTTTCATCATGATCATCACCATTATCACCATGGTGGAAACACATATGCAGTAACTGTTGGTATCCATGTTTAAAAATGAATCTAAACATTTTCTTTGTCCTCATATCATATCTGAACAAAGGTTATAAGTGAACAACATGAATTATCACCATGAAATTTTGTACACTATGAGTGAAAGAAACATTGTAATAATTCAAGTGATTCTGAGCCTGTGAAAATGTCCCATGAACCCATTTGCTTCAAGATGATGTTCAGCTTTTTTTTTTGCTTTCCCTGAATTATATGCATACCCATGGATGAAGCTGGAATCAATTACAAAGGCGAGAAGTGAAAAAATGAATTCATGATGACATAAATATTCAGAAAGGTTCTAATATTTATGATTGCTGGAAAATAAAGTTTCTAGATTGTAGTTAAATGAACTGACCATAAAGTGACCACTAATCTTATTTGTGTTCACTGGTTATTCTTATTGTTTTCCACCATGAATGTGATACCATGTAATTCAATGGTAATGATTGAACACGCAACTTGTTAACTTTAGGAAGGATTAAGCTTAATCATCAGAATAATTTTCTTTCACTGAATCAATTTAATCATCATCACTTCAATGGCTCTAAGTCACACAATGTCCATTGAGAGTCTATTCAATTGATTACCTTGTTGAATTTTCCTTTCTGTAATTTCATCAAATTAAGATGGAAAGAAATTCGTGAGCCTCGATTATCAAAGGCAATTGGTCCAGTAAGGCCAGTAAATGAATTCTAAATGGAAAAGTATGAGATGAAACAAGAACCATTATTAATAACGATTAACTGTGTCTGAGTAAATTTCGAATCAATTTAATCCAATTTGTTTACCGATTTCATTGTGGATATTAAAAAATCTCCATGAGTCCAGAATTTATTACTCAAACAGGTTACACTTGGACCATCAATCGAACCAGAATCTTTAAGAACTTTCTTAATCGATTCAGAGATAACTTTAATTCCGTCGTATATTAATGATGATAAAGCCTAGATAATAAACCGGAAGATAATCATCATTGTTATCATTACAAAATTGATCAATTCAATGAAATTACATGATAATATTTGATATTATCGTTATAATATTATTACTATAACAATGAAAATGTCTCGACATTAACTTATAATTACATTATATTCAAGTCTAACATGAAGCTTTTTAACAATTGAACAAGAAATTATCTCCATGATAACATTATTATTATTACATGGGAAAAGATCAAAATTTTGACCTGATTAACATTAATGATATTACACCAAAGATGATGATATGAAAATGCAGAGAATTCAAATAATGATTCTGATGAAAAGATGATGATAATACTTTTGATAAGTTTCGAAAAGCATCTTGAGATCATTTTCGAAAATTTAATATTCTAAACTTACTTCTATCATCATCAGGTTCATGATAAATTCATGTAAAGTGTATAAATAGTTAACAGAATACTTAATATAAATTCTATTTGACATTGAATTGACTTTCTATGGAGAGAAGGAGGAAAAAGTCAACAATTTTCTGAGAGATAAACTTTCCATCTTCATGGACATTTCGAGTGCCATTGAAATCGTAATTGGGAAAAGGAAACTAAATCATATCTGATACAGAATAGAACTGATTAAACTTAATCAACTATTAACTAACAATAAACTTCCAGCTGAGAGTAAATTATATTAATATGAATCACTTGGAGTAGTAAATATTTTTAGGTGTCGCTTCAATATCCTTAGCATTTCCTAAGGAAATGTTGGACTACAAATTGATTACGATAACTTGTCATCTGAATTTTAAATCAAATGTTAATCAGATTAACAGAAGAATAATGGTGAAAATTAATTCTGTTAAATTCATCTTAATGTAATAAGAAAATGAGCAAAAAAAAGGATGAGGTGAAAATCGAGCAACGAAAATTGAACCTACTTTAAGTTTGGTCTGTTTGTTGGTTGATAGAAAATCTGATTGAGTCCATATATCACTTCGGTCAATATATTGTTCATCTAATAAGGAGAATGTTGTTATATTGGTATCGATCCATTCGAAACTTCGAAGGTCAATCGAGGAAATATCCTGTTCAAGTGGCAATGAGAAGATGATAAGAGGTTAGATCTTGTTGGATAGAGAAGTGGTTCAAGTTGACTTTTTTTCGTCAGAATTTATATAAATATATATTAGAAAATGAATTCTTATAAAATCTGATATGAAAAAAGTTCCAAAAGGGACTGAGAAATAACAAATTGACGATTTCATGGTATCATGAGTAAAGATTGAATTCATTTCCATCAATTATCAATCCTCTTCTTAAGCTCTTGTATTTGATACAAATTGAGAGGATGAAGATGATGAGGATTGAATAATACTAATATTTTCTTAAAGGTGTAAGAGGAGATGGGAAAAAATATCATGGTGAAGATTGTGATGGCGATGAGGATAAAGATGCTGACAGAAAACAGACTGAGGGATCTGTGAAAGTGATAAATAAATAATAATTTTATCAAATATCGAGTGGTGATTGAAAGGATAACAATTCAATAGTATTTTGATTTTTCCAAATTCATTTGAATCATGAAAAGATCAGCAGAATTGATAAAATTTTGGAATAAGTGACAAATTCGATGATAACTTATTCCTTATGAAATTCCAGAAGAATCATAATTCATCATTTTTCTTTGTTTTTGATTGAATTACCACAAGAACATGATATATAGAAAAAGTAATATTGACATATCTGAATTTCTCGAATTTCGGATCAGAACTTTTAACTTACCAAATTGAATAGGAAAAAGTTGTTATATTCAGTCATAAGTCCAGCTTTTCGAGCCTAAACCCATAGAAATCAAGTAAACAATTAGCAGATTAATTCAGTCGTCAAATTTATCATGAATTCAGAAGATTTATCAGATTATCTGTTCAGTGAATTCAACTCACCTCATTCAATAGTTCCAAGATTTTCTTCTCACTCAAGTTAACTATGAAATTAGTTTCTCCATGTTTCTTACAATCTCTAAGAAGCTTTTTAAAGGAATTGGTATTGGGTTGATATCGACGAACAGTAATTTGTACCATTTTGGAGGCCGAATTGATTTCCAATAAATTTTTAAGCTCAATCAGACCTAAGAAATTAAAAAGAAACAATTGAATCGATAAGATTTTCAAAGAGCTTATAATAATTAGATCTGAAAATAGATTAACATTGAACATTAATCACTCGACGGATTTTAAGAGTCTAATGTTATTTGATTGTTAACAGAAAGATCAATGAACTAATTCTGATGATATAATTTGAATATTACATTGGATGTATTCATGATTCATGATGTAAGAAAATTGTGATATTGAGTTAAAACTAATTAATGGTAATGAATTAGTCGGACTCATTTACGATTGTAATATAATCACCTCGAGAGAATTGATCTGATCGAATGTCTTGGAATAAATTATCTATGAATTATTTGGCTGTTCGAGTGATCATGAATTTACCATGGAAAAGGAATCGAAGTGGTCAAGTCGAGAAAAAGAATGGGGAATGATTAACATGAAGATGATCAACAATTAGTAAACTTGCCTTCATTTGTTTCATAGATGATTGTAAATTGTTTCCAATGATCATGATAATTCATCATTGATTCTAAGGCACGACCGATCATTTTAGATGATGGAGTTAATTTAATGGTGAAATTGTGATATTTACGATCCTCATTTACCCATCCTACCGATGATTGTGACAATGATGCTAAATAAGATTGAGAAAATGCTGATGATAGTGATGAGGATGAATAAAATGATGGAAGTGACAATGATGATGATTTAGATGGTGATTGTGAAGGAAGAGGTGATGAAGATGCAGAGTTATTGACATCATTACTGTTGGAACCATTTGGATTCCATAAAATTGAAACATAAGGAACACGAAAATGAGAAACCAATGAATCGATATACCAACTAATTGATTGACTATTGACTCCAATTAGACCCCAGACTCCATCTTCCAATAATTTACAGGCTATTAAGAGAGAGAGAGAGAGCAAGGGAATCAATTATCAATTCTGTCAAATTATTGATCACTTAATTAACTAATGATTATAATACTAACGAGACTTGGATACATGGAAACTGTCACTGGAATTGATGAATTCAATTTGTCCAATTAAACGGAATTTATTTCGTTTCCAATCATTGAAATTGTATCTTTTCAATGCTTCTTGAAAAGCCTCGATTAATGAATCGTCTTTTGTTTCTAACAACGCACCTAAAAGTAATTGAGAGAGTTAAACAATTAGTAAATTGTTGCGAAAGTACATCGAACTTTGCATTACAATCATCAGAAAATTAGATTGTTACATTTTCTCATGATTTTCTTTGGGAATCATTTCCAATTCTAACATTTATTGATCAACTAGATTAGTGATTAAGATCTCTGATTGATGTTAATTGTTGAGTTGTTAACTATTGATTGGTTATCGGTTATTTTTGTTGTGAGAAATAAAAATGAATCCATTTTTCATCTTGATTAGTGTGACAGTTTTTCTGTTCCTCTTCAATCATCATGTGAATATTTTAGATGGAAAATTATTAATGATTAATTATTCTGATTGTCTGATTATCATGATGATTGGCAATCATGAGCATTTGGTGAAACATTTATCATAAAAATGTAAATCAATCAAATCAATTCATCTCAATGGATGAAAAGTAATCAATATGTTGACAACATGGGATTTGGTTTAGTCTCTCAGCTGATGGATGAATCAAATGAATCTCACACATAAATTGCAAACAATCAACGCTTTGTATTAATGGTTAGTTGAATTTCAATAGTAAACAATTAAATCTTACCAATTTTAATGATGCTCGGCGAAGAGGCAGAATTAACTGTCGATAGTTGTATTAATATGGTGTTGATTAGAAATATAATCATAGTGGGAAAACATTGAACTTCGAGAATCATTATTTCAACAATCAGGCTGATCACAGATTAATCAATGAGTTCAGAATGGAACACACAATTAATAGTACTCGTAAATTCAGAGATTAGTAGGGAATCAGGTGAGTATCAAAAGAAAATCAGGAAATAAACATTGTGACCAAAGATCGAGGAAAAAAGGTAAACACTCGCTACTCTCAATCTCCACTGGCAATCAATTGATCAGAAATAATCATATGAAAGTTGATTCTGATGGAGATAAGGATGATGATGATTCCAATGAAATTCACTGTTAAAATGATGCAAATAAATGGAAGACATTAAGATATAAATTGTCACATCGATGGATTTTGTTTGATAAGTGAAGAGTCGATCCAATGGATGCGAAAAGTGAAACTTAAATGAAGATGATGGAAGATTATCTTCTCTCTCTCTTCTCACTTTTCGAAAGATTGTTCATCTCTTTTCAGAATGTTCATTGAAATGTTCTCATGAAAAATGTGAAAATTCCGTTTCAATATGATTCTCTTTCTTTACTCTGTTTTCTTCGCAGAAAGAGTCAAGTCGAAAGGGAAAAATTCCCTTGGAATCTTTCGTAGAGTTTGCGCTTTCGAACTTATCATTTCAACTTAGGTAAACGACGTTTTCGATTATGATTGTCGACAATTTAATCAAATCATTTGATTGAATCAGCGATTTGTCAACTATTGAGGTTTCATCGATTGTCAGTTGAGTGTTGGTGAGGAAAGAAAATTAAAGTTAATTATGTTTAATTGTCTGACTATCATGTTCAGTTACAATCGATGTGATTAATTGTTGGTTCGGAGATTGTAACAATTAATTGGAAAGCAATAGATTCTCGATTGATTGAGTTGATCAATGAATCAGAAAATATGAGTGATTGTTAATCAGACAAAATTAACAAACTTATTTATAAGATTTTCAACAAAATTATCAAGTTAAATTGTCTTTACACACCATCAATCATTTGGAAACAATTTAAATTGACATCGATCTTTGAGTCTTTTTGATTTCTTTTTTATATTGTTCAGTGGAAAATTCAAATTACCAAAACATGATTAAGGTTAAGTTAATTGGAATTAACTTTTTATTGATCAACTTGTATCCATTGGCTCCAGAGATTTGATTGAATTAACTAAATCTTCAACAGTGAACAATTCAAGTTTTCCTGATTCTTTTGCTTCCTTTGATTCATCTGATTTATTTGAATCAGTCTTTTTTTCATTAGTCACAGTAGTTGATTGAATTGCAAGTTGAATTAATAGATCCATGATCTTTTCTGGAACAGATTCTGTTGGTATTAGATTGGACAAATGATCAACGATCTCGAATGTGTGTTTGGTTAATTTCCTAATCGCTTTGTAAAGTATCCTTTGCCACAAAATAATGGCCGTGTCAGGATCTAATTGTGGAAGTGATAAGGTTTCGGTTACATTTTCATCCGCTTGATTTGCAAGGCATCGAGTGATAACTTTGAACCAGAGAACGGAAATTCTGGCTTCTCTTGGGTTGGAATCGTCAAATTTTCGGGTTAAATGATGGATAAACAGTTCTAGAAAGTCAGTGTTGTGTATGAGTCGAATTACTTTGGCATAAAATTTAACTATTCCAAATGGAAGTTCACCAAGATCCATGTCCGTTCTCGGAAGTTTTTTACTTGATTCTCGAACTAAAATTTCTACGATAATGGGAACAGTTTGTTCAGGTTTTTCTAATGTTAAATTGGTTATCTGTTTTTTGAGACTTTTTCCTTGCGAATGCAATGTTATCCATACTTCGACCTGTCTTTCAAGTTTATCCAAATCATCGCACTCTGGTCTTCCGGCCTCTTCCTCGACTATTTTTGCCCAATAGTTACAATAAATCCACGTGAGACAAAAGGTATTAGCTTGTCGCAATAGAATCAAGGAATTGGTCGATGCGTGGCAAGTAGCGTGGCGACATTCAAGTACCCATGAAGGTAGATCGAGCGCAAGACCCAAATCACGAACTGTTTTCCTGGACTTCTTAATAACACGATTAATCTTCTTCTTCTTTGTCATCTGTGAAATCGAAAAAAGAAAAACGCTTAATTATAACGACGAAAGAAAAGAAAAAGAATACAAAAAAGCCTCACCTCATAATAGGGCAAAAGATTACAGAATTTAACTATTGACATTCCGTAGAAAGTACAAATATCATAGTATTTGTGGGTTAATCTTCCGGTGACCTCACCTTCTTCGCCAAAGATGTTTCGGTCTTTAAGAACAGCAGAGATCAGATAAAGTGGCCTCAATTTCGGGGAGATGGTCAAAAGTCGGAGACTTTACTTGCCATAAGATTAATCGATCACGAGCCAACTCGTACTGAGAAATTGAAGGTTTCACATCACTATAAGGATCTATTATTTTCATCACTTGTTTAAACGATGGATCACTAGACCAGGGATACATAATTAATCTCTAACAATTAACAGCGAAAGTAAATGATTAACTTATAAGAGAAACAGAAATTCAAATGATTTTGTTTTTCAAAAATCTCAAAACAAACAACACGCTTTTCTGTTGAAATAGCACAATGAATGAGCTATTTTCACAGAAAATTAGTCTAATCAAATTGGAAGTTTAAATTGATTGGTTCACTTTAATTGTTGTTAAATTATTTGTAAAATGATAAGTGATGGAAGAGTGAATGACATTGAATGGCTGTTTGCATGAGAATAAGATTTTTAGGTTAATTTGCAATCGGAATGAATGAAGAATCAAGATTTTCCAAATTCGATGTATCTTGATCGTCGTCGTCGAGGTCCAAACTCTCACTTGGAAGATCAGGATCGTCGTAAAGTGGTGCTGAAGGGGTTGGTTGTTTTCCACTAATCGCCATCTCTTGCTGTTGATACTTGATTGCTTCGTCGAAATCATTAATTGCTGAATAACATTTACTTATATTACCAAATGCTTTTCTCATTCCGGTAACATCGTTCAATTGTCGGGCAATCGAGAGCGATTCTCGATGTAATTTAGAGGCCGAATCGAAATCTCCAAGAAGATAATAGACTACACCCAAATTGGCAAGAGTGCGACCTTCACCTAATCGATTTTTGGTAATAAGAACCATTTCCAATTGTCTTTGATGCCAACGTTTAGCGGCAATAAGGTCACCCAAACAACGAGCCGCATGACCAAAACCAGCGTAAGCTCGAGCTTCCATATTTCGATTACCAATTTCTTGAGCTAATCGAAGTAGCTGTTCGTTAAATTTTATTGCTGTTTCGTACTCTTTTTTAGCGTGATAAGCGGCACCCAAATTAGAAACCGCTTTAGCCTCTTCTAATTTGTTACCACACGATTTGGAGAGCTTCAAATGCTCATTGTGACATTCAATTGATTTATCATATTCTGACATCGCCAAATACACTGAGCCCACGTTTCCAATTTCTCGAGCTTCAGCTAATGTATCACCCAAAGTACGAGCCATTTGAAGAGCTTGGGAATGTGCTGACAACGCATTCGTCAGATCATCGATAGCCCAATAAACATGTCCAAGTGCTGTTAAAGCGCCGATCGCTTGGTCACTATGTTTTCCTTTCAACGCCAACATTAATTGCATGCGATGGGCTGTACAAGCTCCTTTGTAATTACCTTTACAAAAATAAGCCGATCCAAGGTTACTATGAGCTCGACATTCACCGACCTGATCACCAAGAGACTTAGCAACCTCAAGATCTTGTTGCATGAAATGTAAAGCTTTCTCAACATCGCCCAAAGCCCAATAAGCGGCAGCTAACGCTGAATAAACAGATTCCCGTAACTTGAACGATCGAGTACCGATACGAAGAGATGATTCCAGAATAACCAAAGCCGCAGGATAATGACCTTCAGATAGAATCTCTTGACCAATAAGTGAAGTGATTACAAATGGACTTTTGTCCAATTGAATGGCTTGAAGTTGTCGATAAATTGGTTCGATTGTTGCTCTCAATGGACTTTTCATCGTTGTCTCAATGAAACGGGCCAATAGTTGGGGGCTTTTAACATCTTGAGCCAAACCCGCAGCAAAAGCGGCCAAGGCATCGATATACCGACCAAGATGTTGAAGGGCAATTCCTTGTCGGTAATAGGCTTTAGACCAACGGGGACTTAATTCTCTGGCCTTGATCGCGTCTTGAAGAGCACGGGAATATTTACCAGCTCTACAATAAGCAGCTGAACGATTACCATAAAGAACATGATTGTTTGGATCTAAATTAATCGCCTCCGAATAGAGTTTAATGGCCTTAGGGTAATCTCCAGATTGACAGCAACTATTTCCCTCTCGGATCTTTTCAACGAACAGTAACTTTTTCGATGACAATTTAGACAATCGAGTATTCAATTTAGATGATGGACATGATTCAGCTTCAGATTCCAATCCAAACTAAAAGTTAAATCAATTTAATTAACAAGAAACAAAAGAAGAAGCAAAAAAGGAGTTAAAGGTAAAGGTAAACAAAGAAAATTGTTAAGGTCAATAAATCGTTGATTCTCTTACCTCTTCGAAATCTGCTCCCAATCCATAACTTGTAGACGAATCTGAACAATCCATGGACAGTTGATCTCTAATTAATCTACGACAATGATTAGTAAATTAAATTATATCAAATTGAGAAATTGGAAAGAAACTAAACAGAGAAAACAACTTAGTTAACAAGTTGAAGAAAAAGAAAGAGAAAAGAAAGAAAAAGAAAATAAAAGTTTAGGTTAATAAGAAACAAGTTTTATAGTCCAAGAGTAAACTGACCAGTCCGAAAGCACTGAGATCCTTTTACCGGTAACCAGAATAATTGAACATTATCATTATCAGTTTAATGATTATTAGTTTTTCCTCTCAACGATTTGAGTATAAAAAAGTAACTTCAGTTAATCTGATTGTGAGAGAACTCAAATTTTACTAGACTTTGATTGCTCACAATTTGTAAGTTTAAGTTGATTACGGAAAGATAACCAAAGGTCAGTCGAAATTTTTTGTTCGAAAATGAACAAAATTATGTTGACTTGTTGCAGAAAACAATTAATCTAATCATGAGAGATATTTTCGATTATAATGAAATGTTCAGATTAAATTTCGTTGAGAATAAAATTCATAACTTGGATAATCAGTGAGACGAAAAAAAATTCAACATGGAAACTCAGAAGGTAATCGAAAATTATTAAAAGTCAAAGTGAATTATTGTGAAAAGAAAATCATTTGAATCAAGTTGTTTATTATTAAATCGATTAATTATTAATTTCGTTTTCTAATCAAATGTTCAACAAGAAATTTCAATCAATTCAATGTTCGCGGTTCGTTGTAACCATGGAAACGAAAAGGTAAACATTTAAAGCTTCAAGTCAACTTTCAGAATTTTCATTCAATTGAATTATGATTTTCGTTGATTTGATTAGAATTTATTTTCCCTTTTAATCAATCCAGTTAATTGATTCGTTTTTGGTGATAATTAGTCTGTTTTCTTTTTAACCATTGACCTTGAAAGGTCAGTTTATGATCGTTGGTTGTTTGTAAATTCAAAGAGCAACCTTATCGTTTGCCTGAGAAAAGGTATTATGATTACTGTAAACATTTGTGTTGATAATGAATTATCATCATCAACAACATCTTGCTCATCTTTATCATCTGCGCCTGTTTCCTTCTTTACCAGCAAGTTGATTTGTCTCTATTGTTTTGATGGTTTGTTGACTGTCATATCAAGTTTAAATTGTTGATAATTAGTTATATTTGTTTCTCTTTTACTCTATCTATCTCTCTATCTCTCTCACTCTCTGTGCTCTAAACTTGATTATGAAAAGTGATCGATTTTGATTTTCAATAAGTATCACTTGGTTTTGTTAAATTTTCAATTTATCACTGGTAGTATTTCACTTGACTATTTCACATTGAGAATTTACTGATCAACAGCATTACTGTCATTTTGTTATGGATCAATTAGCAAATGATTTAAGTTTCGCCATAATTGATGTAGAAGATGTGAAAAATGATCTGACCCCAAGGCTCTTGCCACCGGATGGACGGAACATCAAACCTTTGGGTAAGGATAAACTGACAACTAATTTTGTTTCATTTACTGATTTTGTAAACAATTTCTATTCAGGTTCTAAAGCGAAACTATCCAAGCCCATTCTGCGATCAGCGTCCATCTTGTTGAGGTCCAAGAAGTTGATTCTAAGTGATTCTGAATCAGAAGATGGCGGAGATAAATCGGGAGACCCGTTGTGTCTCATTCCCCCTCAAAGTAAAGAGATGAAAGAGATTCCTGGACCTTTTGGTGAATATTCCGCTTCCCTTTCCCGAAAACATCGCATGAAAAAACACAAGAGGAAAAAAGAATCCAAAGATGAGAGACTTTTCGGTCAATTGTGTGTCGGACAATCAAATTTCAATCAATATTTTGGTAAACGTAAGAGAAGCACAACTGTGAACAACCAGGTAATCTCGAGCTTAGAATTAATTATGAAACTGTTATTTGTAATTGTTTCCATTGATCTATTTTAATTGCCCAGCAATCAACTTCTGGGGGTATTGATGAAACTCATGGGATGAACGATGATCATGGCAACAATGGAGGGAATAGCAATTCTTATCAACTTAATTCGATGGACTGTGAGTCGCAAAGTGATTGTGATTCATCATCATTGTCTGAATCTGTTTGTGACTCAGATCATTTCGCCGAAGCTGATGATGAACAATCAGATTTCCACGAAGTCATGTCCAGATCAAAGAAAGACATTTGTCAACCGAGTTCAAGTAATAACTGTGGACCAATCGGCAACTCGACATCCAAACCAATCTTCCGAACCAAATACAGTCCATCCATACCGATACCTCAGAATCCATTTGCTTCGGTTCCATCCACACCTTCATCGTCTTACAATTCACTAACTGGTGGATCATCGGTGCTCTGGAAAAGACGTCGTCGTAACCATTAAAATCTAAAACACAATTTAGACGTTAACCAATGGAAACTATTGTATAGCTCTTATTGTGAGGTAGATCAACAATACTGGTTCATTGCTCTATTCAATGGTAATATCAACACTTTAAAGCAAATATTTGACAATTCAAATGATGATCTTGATGATTTGACATTTTTTTATTATTATTTATACTTGAAAATGTTTGGGCTCATCTAATGTCAAATGCCTTGAAATGATTAATCTTAATCAATTATAATTGGTGCTATTTAAGATTGACTCTAAATAGCCACTGATTTTTATATACAATACAAATTTACTAGAAAAATATATAATATACAAATCGTAACCTAAATGTGAAACAATTAACCAGTGACAAAGTGATTTAGGTGCAACAACTATTTCTTGATTAACTTATTAAATTAATGAGAGCAAATTTTACCAAGAGCATTTTGCTTACGTGAAAATTATTCTTAAAATGTTACAATCAAATAATTTAAAAGAAAATAAATTTATACACATATTTAAAATTAATGTTATAAAAGGAAAACAATTACAATCAAGTGGTTTACTATTAAATTAATTATTTCGTTTCCGTTAATCAAATGTTTCAGTCAATTCAATAATCGCGGTTGAGCGTAACCATGGCAACGAAAAGGTAAACATTTAAAGCTTCAAATCAACTTGGAGATTGTTGTTTACATTGAGTGAATTTCGTTAACTCAATTGTGTTTTGTTTTCTTTTGTTTCTCTAATCAATTAAATTGATTCTTTTTCTTGGTAATTACCTTATTTTCTATTCAATATTGACCTTGAAAGGTCAATTTATCACCGCTCCTTCTCAGTTGATCTTGAAGAGCGACCTCAACATCCTCATCGTTTCACTGAGAAAGGTATGATCACGGTAAACATTGCAGTTGACAATCAATTATCACCATCATCAGCATCATGTTCATCATGTTCTGGTGTTAAATCATCGTACCATTGTGTTCAAGATAATTTGCGATTTCGAAAATTGTGTCCCAATGATTTGGAGACACTTAAACATCTTTGTGAAGATTGGTTTCCAATTACCTATCCAGTTGAATGGTATAATGCTGTAATTAATGGTGAATACTTTTATCCCTGGGCTGCAACAATTAATGGTAAAATTGTCGGTGTTATTGTAGCAGATATTTGGTGCCGTTCAGATTGTGACCATTGTGACCGTGACATCCTACCTGGAGCAAAATTTCCAGATGATTCAAAAGTAGCTTACATTTTAACCTTTGGTGTGGTTAAAGAGTATCGTAGATATGGGATTGGCTCTCGACTATTAGACAAACTAATCAACGAACTAACAACGAATATTGATCTTAACGATACAGCCAAAACTGTCAAAGCGGTTTATCTTCATGTTCTATGTGATAATAAGACGGCCATCACTTTCTATAAAAGTAAATCATTTCGTATTCATCGTTACCTCCCTTGGTACTATTGTAACTCAGCGGGTAATGGAGATGCTTATTCTTATGTGAGGTACATCAATGGTGCGACAACATCTTGGATCTACTCTTATCCGTTTGCCCGATGTCCAATTGTCGGTATTTATCAAGCACTTGGTAAATTACCTCATCTCTTATGGCGAGTCTTTCGAGTTCTCAAAATCTATCGGATTTTTATCTTTCGTGTCTCCGAAAAGATGAACGATAAACCTAAAGAAATCACTGCTTAATTGTTATACAATTTTTTCGTTATTATCTTTTGTTTCTCCCTCTCTATAAGCTTCCAATTAATCTATTATTATTCTATTAACCATTGATTAACCTAATCCACATTCCTTATGTGTGTCTAGTTAGAATTTAAAACTGGATTGGATCAATTTCAATTTCCGTTTCCAATGGGGATAAACCAGGAAGCTCTCGTTACTTTGGCTCATCATCATTCACCTTAATCGGCTTGAAAACGAGGTTAAGATTATTCATTGCTCATATTCTTGTTTACCATTGAAAATAACATGCTCATCATTCATCATCCTCATTCTCACAATGTAAATAGTAACTACAATCTAACAACTTGACTCTTCGTTAGCGTTGTTTTTTTTAATGACTTTAAATGCATTAATAGAAACAACAAAAGTCGCATTAATCGCAAGTCTCAGATAAACGAAATCAACTTTATTAATCTCATTTAGATTCCGATAATTGTACCAATAATCAGTGTAATCGAAAAATTTTTCCAATGGAACCAGATAAAACATAAAGTGCCTTCCAACCAATGGACTGAATCAATTTCATATTCAATCGGCACCCAAACAATTATATTAATAGTTCACCTGTAATATCAATAGTCGATTCACTTTTCCGTTAATTATTAATCAATCGATCTTTGTGTTTACCATCGAGACAATTGTGACCTGAATTTTGCTTTCTCGTTACATTTTAATGTATTATTATTATTCATTTGAATCTTCAAAGTTAACTTAATTGCTTTCGTAATTTAAAATAATCGAGAGTAAAAACTTTTAGATTGTAAATTAGTTTGTTTTTTTACCCAAATCAGTTAACCGATTTGATTGCAATCAACTCATTTAAAAGAGGAAATGATTCATGTTTCTAATTAAATAAATTTAAATTAACATCAACTTATTATTTACTTTGATTGTTGTTTTTGCGTGATTTACAAAATCATTTGATTACAATCAAAATGAGAATCGGTAAAGATTAAGCAGATTCAACTCGAATCGAGCTTAAATTGGATTTAGTTAATTCTTAATCAAGATGAATGACAATGTGATTTGATTGGAAATTGATATGAATGTGAAAAGATGACAATTTAAATTTACTAACAATTAAGTCTTTAAATTGTCGCGTTGAAATCATATTTAAACTGAAACCCTCAAGTCAACTATTGATTGTTAGGATAATTTCAATCATAAGTTTCTGAATTGTTGATCAAAATTATTCAGCAACTCGATGAATTGATTGAGTGTTGATATCGATAAATTGATTGTTCAACAAATTGAACAACAAGGGTTATCACTTATGCTCGAAGCATCTGAATTACGACGATATGACGGAACTGTCGTTCTCTCATCGACATAAAACTTTTTCGGTGAATGTGGTCCTCTTTTATTCTGTCGGGATTGTGAACTTTTCCGATCGATGTCCAAGGCCAATTGATTGACCGTTGGTCTTTCATGATCAGCCAATAATCGAGATTCCGTAACGATCGCTGTTAATCTTCCTCCTTTGAATGTGCGGCCATTTAATTCATTGCTGATCTTTAAGGCATCGGCTTTGTCGTTGAAACTCAGCCAAACTGTTCCCCGTTGGATCTCAGCGAATTTCCCGTTCTGGTTTTGAGCTTTTTTCCTGAATTCGGCGACGATCTCAGCATTTCGGGTATGAAGCGGATAACCAGTGATCTGGACAAGCCAAGGTTCCCAACTGAGTGGAATTGATTGTTTGTAGGGTTGACGAGGTTTATTTCCGTTCGGGTTGATGAAACTGTTGATAGAAAAAGATTTATCAACACAATCAACAAGATTTTGAGATAAACCTTCGCTGTAGATTAAGTAGATTGTCACATTATGATTACGTTTAAATCCTCTTAAAGTTGTCGCGAAATCATAATCACCGGTTAGCAAAACAATTGCGATCTCATTGTGACCATTTTCATTGACAAATTCAGTCATCAATTTTTTCAACTTCTCATCGGCAGCGTTTTTCACATTGTTGGACACATGGATTATCGTTAAACCAATAAGATCAAGTGATCTCATTAATCCACTCGACTGATTGTAAACATCACAAGCAACAAAAAAATCAATCTCAATCCAAGATCTTGAAGTGACCAGATTTCTTATTGACCGGACGATGTCAGTTGCCAATTCACCTCTTGGTACACGGACATTTTCAATGTCCCAGAATAGGCCACATTTCACTGGCATGATGGTAAAGTTAATTAGCGTTCAAATCAGTTAATTAACTGAAGAAAAACTAATAACAAAAACAAAATTGATAAGAATACAAAGGAAAAGGTTAATCACAGTTGAGAAGGAAAAAAATTGACTCGTTGATCAAATCTCGATTCAATTAACTGTAAGATCGATGGGGAGAATTAAGCTTGAAATAAGCTTAACTGATTAACAGAAGTTTAATTGAATTGATTGAAGAAAATGAGTTCTAATCAAATGATGTTAATTGTGAGGCAAATCAGTGTAAACACAATCACTTGTTCATCAAGATACAAAGTGAGTCTTAATCAAAAAGTAAACAAATCTCACTCGCTGGTCTCACACGTTGATTGTGATGGAAACAATTAGGATCATAACGGGTGAGGATAAATTGCGAACAGATAATTGATATTCCGTTGAATAATAGCTTGAGAATTCAATTCTAGACAATTGGATAATAGTTTTCCATTTGGTTGTTTAATAGGATTGAGTTATTTAAGTTAGAATATAATAAATTGTAAGATCACATCGAGAATAACAAAAAAATAGTTGATGAAAGTTTAATAATTTTTCTGGTAAAAAGAAAGAGAAAAGAAAGTGAAAAAGTAAGTGAAATTTTTCAAGAGAAAGAGAAAAGAAAATTGGTCTCTATTGAAAAAGAAAGAGAAATTTTCAATCGCATTTCCCGTTCTCTTTCTCTTCTTTCTCTTTCTAATTTTTCAAGTTTTCTCTCTCTCTAAATTTACATATGCTTAAAGTTAATTTCGTTTTAATCATCATTCAAATTGTGCGATAAAGACCATAATCAAAACTCCCGTGGCAGCGGCGATAATTTCCAAGATTGATTGTTTCAAGTTCGTTTCCTCTAATAGTTCCGGTATCACTGAGACGCAGGCAATGTAGATGAAACCACCGGCGGTAAAAGGTAAAATCCATGGTGACGCTGTTTCCGACATTCCATCGGCTACCAATGAGATTAGAGTTCCCGTCACGGCTCCGACAGCGGTGATCAATTGCAAGAACATGGCTTTTTTCCGAGAACAACCTGATTGGACTAAAATGGCGAAATCGCCAATTTCATGGGGAATCTCATGGAAAAGAATGGTTAATGTTGTCATCAATCCTATTCCTTGACCAGTGATGAAAGAAGCACCGATTGCCAGTCCATCCGTTAAATTGTGAGCGAAATCAGCGGCCAGATTCAGGTAACCAGCGACTTTAATTTGTTCAACTAAAAATGATAAAGAGAGAAAAAGGTGAAAAGGAAAGAGGTTGAAATCGACGGAAAAGAAACAAGACAAAAGCGGGTTAGTTAAGCGTTCGAATTGATGTTTAGAACTTTGAATCCTTTGGGTGATCAAATCAAGAAAAAGAAAACCGGAGAAGAAGAATCTGCCCTCATGCAGTGAGAATTAAGAAAACCTAATTACAGGTAATCTCTTGTCTCTCATTTGATTCTAAGGGGATAATTTTGTTTGCTGTTTCATACCAGGTTCGGAAGGAAGAGGAACGATTTTATCGACACCAGTGAACCTGACCCTTTTTCCACTCGGACTGTCAGGACATTTCGATGTGTCTTCGGTCTCTTTATCCTTAGTCGATTTAGGACTTGCTTTTAATGAAGTCCTAGAGGGCTTCTTCTCAGCGGTTTCCTTTTTCTCCTCATCCAGCTCACCTTGGTGATCGCCTTCTTGTTTCTTGGTCTCTTCATTTTCTTTTGATTTGTCTTTCTTTTTATCTGATCCTTTGGTTTCTTTTTTAGTCTTTGGTGGACCATGCGAATGACCATGACCTGGACCCTTACAGATTCTGACAAATTTCTCGACAACTAGAAAAGCCAAAACACCAGCGAGAACCCTTTTGATTACATGAGGTAAAAGAGAAACAAAGACAAATATGAAATAAATTGTGACACATTGAGAACATTTTTCTGTAATATTTACCATAATCCGACTGACATGTCATGACTATGATGTTCCCCATCACCTCCATGTGAATGTCCATGTCCATGGTGTGAATGTTCATGATGGTCAACTGATTCTTTAGCCTGTTGAGCGATCAAAGCGTGAGGAATAAGATGGAGAAAAGCATCACCAAGAAGACCACCGGAAGCAAAGCTCAGTAAGATTTTGAGAAAGGGTTGATATTCAGCTGAATTATCTAAGGGTATGAACCAGAGAATCACAAATGGAACCAGAGAAATGAACACCGTTGATCCCAAAGCGCTGAGCCAAACCTCAGATGGATCTCTTTTGATAACCGCTGCTGAAGGTGCGTCTTGGTGTTTACCACTTTCACCATCGTGACTGTGGTGATCATCATGGTGATGGTCATCATGTTCACCATGATGATGATGATGGTGAGATGAATCATCGTGTCCATGATCAGATTGAAAGGCTTCATTGGCTTCACGGGAATACTTGAATGATGGATTTTCATCATGATGGTGGTGAGAATCATCATCATGAGAATGGTCATGATTGTGACCATAACAAAGACCCACAGTTAACAAGAGAGTGAAACCGATTAATAAAGTAACACCAAGACGACACCATAATGGAAAACCCATTTGAACACAATTTCTCAATTAATTGCGAATAGAAATAAAAAGAAATTAAGAAATAAATAGAAAAACAAAAAAATGAAATCACAACAAGAAGAAAATATTTGCTGGCAGATGACTTGGCACACCGACTCAAAGAAGATGAAAGGGAGAAGAAGAGAGAAAGTTAATTGAGAAGTTAATCAATTGTTAATTGTTCTATTTATTGTCTTTTTCTATTCTCATTCATCTGAACATGAGAAAATTAAATGTGATTTCAATATATTAACAAATTGCTCGTTTGTTTGATAACAATTCACAATAAATAATGTAAATTGTCACTTTTATTGGTTGTCAAGGTTCAGACAATCATTAATTTTTTTCTTGATTTTTATTCATTAAATTAGTAAATCTTATCATCCCAATGATGTGATTCACCTACACTCAGCTCCAATTGGATTAAATCTCTTATAAGATATTCTCAATTTTTTGATTGTTGATTCGCAATGATGATGTGGTTTAAGTAAATTTCATTTTCCAGATCAATTTAATTGCTTCATTATTAACGCGTGTTGATTGGAAAGAAATTGGTTCAACTAGTTGGTCTTTGGTTGGGTGATTGGAATTGATTAGCGAGGCTTGGGTTCCATTTCTTTGGCGACTCTTTCGTCGATTGATTTAAATTGTCTTGACCAGTTTGGGTCGAATAAAAATTGCCGTTGATCAAATCGATTATCATCCGGAGAAAATGATTCCGCGTGAAGTGAAGGCGTTAAAACGGTTTGTTTATGTCGATTGCGAGCATGTAGAATAAAAAATCGCTTCACTTTGTTAGCGATAATAATTGGATTGGTTGGTTGATTAAAATTTTCGGCATTTTCCAACAATTTACAGAATAAACTGTAAGGTCCACACGCACCGAATTCACCTCGGCGAAGTCGTCCAAACAAACTGAGCTCTTCGTAAGTCAAACCGAGATCTTGTTCATCGCTTTGACTTTCTCCAGTTAATTCAGCGCTAGGAATGGCATTTAAGGTTTGCGTTAAGACTTCGGTGTCTTCCATAAGAACTTTATCACGAATGTAGGCCAAAAATCGACGGAGATCTTGTTTAGAAAGGCTTCCAATTGGATTAATATCAGCTGACGAGCAATCATACTTAGTTAAGTATCCAACTAAGGCTTCATCGACATTACCAGTTGCCAAGACTAGACGATTACAATCACTGAGATCATAAGTTAACAACATTCGTAGACGAGCTTGAACATTTTGAATTCGAAGAGGAATAGTTTTTGGTGTTGGTCGATCAAGTGTTGAACTGGTTAATTTGTCAACAGATTGATAGATTTCTGTAAAATCGATTATGTGAAATTCAGCACCACACATTTTGGCGATTCTTGAAGCTCGTTCTTCACTGGCTTTCCCAGAGTAATTCGTTTTCAGGTAAACACAACGTAAAAGCTTTTGACAAATTTCTTTAGGACTTTTGATTCGTGATAAAGGCATCGATTCTAATATTGATCCTAGAGCTTTGAAAAAGTTTGTATCAGATTTCAAGACGATTTCCTTTTGCAAATGATCAAAAATATGTACACACATACAGTAAACCATACAAACAACAGAGGCTGAATCAAGGCCACCGCTTAAAGGCACAACGAATCCTTTACACCAGGAATGACATCGTCGGAGATAATCCCAAAGCCACAATGATCCGTAGATCATAATCTCTTGCTCGGGTAATATGTCAGTCAAGTGACAAGGTGGATTGGGTGATGAATTGGTTTGATATAAATTAAAATTATGGATCGAAATGGTGGCACTTTCAGGACAATCGACGAGTCCGGAATCTATTTCGAGTCGATTAGAATCTGCATAAAATATTAGTCGAGAGCTCGAATTTGGTGCACTTCGAATATTGTACTGTTGTCGATAGTTTGTTATATCTAAAGGATCCAATTTATATATAGCATAATCTACATCTCGAAGAAAAGTGTCCATAGTTGTCGTTTTGGCGACGACTTTGCCATTTAAGGCCACCAAACTTCGACCATAGAAACAAATTCGCGCTCCATCACAGCCGATTAAATTTGAGAAAACATAAAGACCACCAGTTTTACTTGTCGCTGTTTTCATCAGTTCAAGAGCTCGATCAAGTTTACGAATTTCCCAATAAGAACCAGATCCATTTATGATAATATGAACTCCTTTCTCACCAAAAAGCCTGACATTCGCAGCATCGGCAACCCACATCTCTTCACACATCTCGAAGCCAATTCTAATAGGAAATAGTCTTGAAATGCAAGAATCAATCTTGGGTGGAACAATTTCAATTATTATCTCAGATCCGAAAGGAACATATTGTTGACTAGTTAATTGTGCGATAAATGATGGCAAAGGAAACCAATGGATTCCAGAGTCAACAGCCCAGGCAGCGAACCAACGAGACTCTCGATAATTCCCACTATCCGCTAATTTAGTCTTTGGTCGTATCATCAAAATCTTACTATTAAGTATCACCACTCGGCAATTGTAAAGTGAACCATCCTTGTAAACCGGCAATCCTAAAGTAATTGAGTTGACAAAAATAATAAGAATAGAAATGATTCTTGAACAATCAAAGAAAAACATCCTCACCAATATCGATAATTATTTCGGTGAATTGTTTCTTAATGATTTCGGCAACAGTTTGCCAAGAGTGATAACAAGTATCAGCCTCGAAAAAAGCATCTTCACAAGAGTAACCGGATACTTCTAATTCAGGTCCAACTCTGATCGAAGCTCCATTTCGTTGAGCGATTTCAATACTGTTTAATATCCGATGACAATTTCCATCAAAATCCAAAGCTAATTGGTTAAGGGTAAAAACACCAATTCCAATTTTAGACATGGAATGACTTTCCAATGGACAATCAGAGAATGACCAGAGTTACAGGAAGAAAATGTGAATGTACTGGAGAACCAAAAGGCCTAGTGTCCGATAAAAAAATCAATCAAACGATCAAATTCACTTTCAATATTCAACCTAAATTGTAAAAGGAAATCAAGAAAACATGACATTTAAAAATTAGACACAATCATATTAAGGATAAGAGGAGAAATACTTAGAATTAAACCCGAAGGATAATTTACCAAGACAACAGATATTATAAATAATAAACTAATTGAAGATTAATCCTAGTTGCATAGAAGAAAAGAAAAATCAACTAATTGGTTTAATGAGAATTAATTGTTAGAATTCGTGAAAAAAAACCTCAAAAAATTCATCAAAAGTGAAGGAGAAAAAAATGTCAACATGAGAAAGAAGCAAAATGAACTTACCAGTGTAATGAATTTGATGAAAACTCTGAGAACATAAGAAGGGAAAAATATAAACAAAACCGAACAATCAAAAACTAAATTGATTAACAATCTAACAATGCGAACATCGAGATGAAAGTGATCAACTGATTACTCTTTTCATTGAAAAGGTAAAATAAACAAAAATTTTTCGGAAAAAATCTGTTTGGGATTAGGTGGAAAAGAAAACACTAGATGGAAACACAAGTTCCATGGGGAATTACATATAAAGGGAATCACTTTGATCTAGATGAGTTGTTTTCTCATCTTTTGTTGCCAACGTTTTAATTGATCAACTGTAGTTTATGTTCACTGTTTTATTCTCATTCTTCACTTGGTTAGCAATAAAAATGTCAGGAAACAAGGAACGAACTTTTATCATGGTTAAGCCCGATGGTGTCCAACGAGGATTAGTCGGTGAGATCATCAAACGATTTGAGGCTAAAGGTTTCAAATTGGTTGCAATTAAGATGAAACAGGTAAGCCTTTTATTGTTCTCTTTCTTTTCTCTTATCCGGCTTTCCCTTCTTTCTCCCTTTTACCCATTTGTCTGTCTGTTTTTCTGTCTACATTTTTTCATTTCCGTTTCACTTTTTTTTTCTCTACTCATTTAATGATTAAATTTAATTTAACGAATTAACTTTTTTTTTCTTTAGGCTCCTGAAGAGCTTCTCAAGCAACATTATGCTGAACTTGCTGGAAAACCATTTTTCGCTGGTTTAATCAAGTATATGCTCTCTGGACCAGTTGTCCCAATGGTACATTTACTCTTATTATCTTGTCTTTTTCTTTCTGGTCACACCTTTATTTCTTTTATTTCTTTTATTTCTCTTTATGGATATTTTTGTTAGATCTTTTTTAATAATTGTTCTTTTGTTCTTTTGTACCTTTACTTTGTTGTCCTTTTTAGGTCTGGGAAGGATTAAATGTTGTCAAGACTGGACGAGTTATGCTCGGTGAGACCAACCCTGCTGACTCTAAACCTGGAACCATCAGAGGAGATTTATGTATCCAAGTTGGAAGGTAATGAGAATCTCTATTTTCTTTTCTTTTTAAAATTTATCCAACATCCTTTGTAGTTAAAACTGTAAATTATTTTTTATACCTTTTGGATCTTTGCTACAAAGCTTTTGATCCTTTAATTTGATTTACTCTTCTCACTTTTACCTCGATGCTCAGTGGTTTTTTCCCCATTGTCTTAATCGACATTCTTCTTAACTCAACTGTGTAGTTTCTTGAGTCTAATTGTTTTTTTTTGTTCTTCTCTTCTCACCATTTAGAAACATCATTCATGGCAGTGATTCCGTTGATACCGCTAAGCGAGAAATTGGACTCTGGTTCGAGGACAAAGAATTGTCCGACTGGGCTCCAGCTCAACAAACTTGGGTTTATGAAGACTAAGTTATAATCATAATCTTCATTTTAATTTGTATCTTGATTATGTTCAATGGTTTTACAAGTAAATTAGTCAAGAAACTAAAGACACAAACAATACAACCGTATCTTGAAATTAATTGTTCGTGGCAAACAAAAATTACAGGCTGTCATCTTAATAATTTCAGGGAGTATCTCACAATTATCCTTTTCGTTTCTTTCTCTCGGTCAGTTTTGTCATCTATTATCTAGACAGTTGACTCTTGACCATCAACATCAAGATTTAACCTCTACAATAAGAGAGCAACTTCATCTCGGTCAATTAAATCATCTGGTACATCGAGGTTACGAATAGTAACAATAAGAGCATAAGTCAATATGATCGCCAAGATAATTACACTCACCAGAATCACGATATCGAGTATCAATCTATTTGATTGTTGAATTAATGTGTCATGTCTCCGAGTTGAGGAATAAAGTGATTTAAATGGATTCTTAACAATCGCCTTATTTGTTTCCGCTTCCTCTTCGTCTCTAATTTGTTCCATCAGAGAAACTTGATTCAAATTGGCGGAAAATATTTTCTCATTTAAATTTAAGTTAATCAACTTCATCGCTGATCCTTCAAGTCCCAAATCAATCAACGATTTGGTTAACAGCGATTGGAAATACGAGTCACCATCACGTGGAAATTGCGTTTTTAAATCAACACGTTGTTTGATTAGAAAATCAAAACAAGATAATTTAATCAATTTGATTGGTTTTTTCGTCATAACTGATTGTAAGACTTTACATTGATATTCACTTAGATGATTAGCTAAATCAGCTAAATCTTCAGCAATCAAACAGTTAATCAAACCATAGATGTTAACTGATAAAAAGAATTGAATTAAATTGTGAAAATGAATTGTAACCATTTTATTGTTAAATTGTCACAATTAACAATCGATTTAATCTCTTCTTCCTCTATAACAATTTACAAGATTCTAAATTGTATTTAGAGATATTATTGATTTGACCCTCACACAATTAATAGAAATTAATTGTTTGATTGATCAAGTTAATCAATCTTTTACTTTAGAGTAACAATTTAATATTCACCAGCAATCAAATTGGAACAATAAAAGAAACCACTAAATGGAGACAATCAAGTAAATCAAATTATCGATTTGTTATTTTCTTATTACAATTACAAGTCTTTATAATCAACTGATTGTGTTAATAACAATCGTAATTACAGTTAACTAAATTGAGGCGAATGTATTATTTATATTCACAGGAACAGTTAACCAATTGGAAAATCAATTTGATTTTTTATTCTCAATTTAATTAGTTGTCAAGAGAATATAATTGATTGGGATGAAAACAATCAGTTAATTTCGCAAATGATTCAATGAAATTGTGAATTAAACTCGAGAAAATAGAAAACTGTTTCGAAAACGAAAAAGAATAGAAAAGATTAAATGTTCTCGATTTTTTTCCTATGTAATTTTCTATCTAAAATTAGGTTATTTTTTCTTCTTTGTCTTTTCTATCTTCTTTATCTTCATTATCATCCTCATCTTCTAGTGAAAGGTTTCAGTTTCTCCAAGTTAATTGGATAAACAAAGAGATGAAGAAATGAAGAGAATCAAAATTAACGGTTCCATCTAAAAGGTAAAGTAAATTGTTGGTTAATTATAATCAATGTATCACAATAAAAGCCAATTGTGTCTCTTAATTGTTGAGAATCAGTGATATTTTATTCCGATTGAGTTGTTAATTTCAATTCTGCAAAGTTTATCAGCTGATTAATAAATTTACTTTCAATTTAGTTAATTGTTGGCTGATTTGACAAATGAATATTTTATTTTATTGCTGTTTCGCCATTTCGTTTACTCAGAGAAAGAGAGAAAGTTCAAGGAAAGGAAGAAGATGTAATTTTGATGATGAAGATGAGAAGATGATTGTTGATTTTTACAAAGCGGGAGCAATAATCATGATTAAGGTGGTTGCGAATTGGAAATACATTTGTTCATCTTAGTGAGTGAATATCTTTGAAATTACATTGAAATATATGGTGACTCTGTACAAGGCCATTCGGAATCAATCTGTCTCAGGGATGAAACATGGATAGCAAAAAGATATCATGAAAGTGGGTGGAAGAGGATGAGAAGGTGGGAGAGAGAGAGAGAGAGAGAGAGGAAGGAAGTGAGTGTGGATGTATGGACAGATTGAAAGGAAGAAGATGAAAATAAAGATGGAGAGAGAAAGAAGATATTTATAAATAAAAGAGGAAGAAAATTCTGATGATGCTGATGTGAATTGAGATGAGAAAGTGTTGATGATGATAATCAGCATGAATCTTATCGTTCTGTTGTTTTGTCTTCATCGTCTTCTTTTGTTATTTTCTGTTAATCTTCATCTGATCCTGAGCTTTATTCTGGAAACAAAAATCTCACTTCAATTGTTTCATTTTCCTTTAATATAAAATTTGTTTCATCTCTGTGATTCTGAATCAGGATAAACCAATTAATTCATGATGAGAATTGATGATGATCAAGATGCTGATTAAGATTATGTGTTGAATTGTGAAATTTTGTCGCTTAAAAGTTATCATAATATGATAATCATTTATGCAAACATTATGATGATGATTTTCATGATGGATCTTGATGATAACAATCAAATGGTTTCAAGACAATTTGAGCTTTCCGGCTAAAGGATAAAAAAAGAATACAATTAGTAAATTGTTATAGATTTTCATCGTAAATTATGTAATTACAATTAAAAACTGTTCATCTCTTTCTCTAGATGGATTAGGAAATTGAGATTGGATCAACTCGCTTACATACAACAATCAAGTTTGAGAAAATGTCTTTTGATGATTAACTTGATTAGTTTAAAATTTTGTCCAAACAAAAAAGTAAACAAACTTGAAAATCTAATTAAATTAAAACTCAAAGATAATCAAATTAAATTTCGTTGTAAATTAATTTACTTAGTTTAGTGAGTGAATTAATTTTTCTTCCTCTCAAATTAATCAGTTGATAATTATTTGAATCAATAGATTATTGGTAATGATTGATTGAAAGGATAACCAAGGTTTTCATTATTGGATCAAGTTAAACAATCAGCCAGTGAGTTAGTTGATTGTCAGTCAATTTGAGCAATAAGTTAATTGTTGGTGATGTAAAAAATCATGTCAATAGCTCAAGGCTTTTGGTTGGTTCTCAAATTGTTTATCACAACAATTGGATGATATTTATTAATAGAATGTCAAGTAAATGTAATTTAATTAGTTAACGATCAACGTAAGCAAAATAATAGATTTGTCAAAATGAAATAGTTTTGTGAGCAATTTAAATGAGCAAAGAAATCAGGTAACGATTAGAAACTGGATCAACAATTAAATGTTTTCCTCTTAAGGCAATTCAATTGGAAAAAATTACCATCAGAGTAAAAAGTTAATTTAGTTTCTTTCTAGTAGTTAGTTAATTGCGTTACAAGTTACCATTGGGAGATGAGGGAAAACTTTTCGTAAAGTTAATTTTCAATGGTAACAAAGGTTTTCGTTGTTCAATTACACTTGATAGTAATTGTAATCATGATGATGATGATGATGATGATGATGACTATGATTATCGTGGTATAAAGGTTTTTAATTTAATTGCATCAATTTTCAGGAGATGATGATGATAATCCAATTCGCCGAGCTGCATCAGCTAAATTACCTCTAACTCGAGTAAACTTTCTCAATGAGACGTTAATTAAATTCTTGGTTATTGTACAGACTGACCGAACCAAAACTGACCGGTAGGTACAACATTCTTGATAACAACCAGTTCCGGCATTTGGTGTTATCGGGAAGGTCGGATAAGGCTGATTAATCCCATTGTAACCCCCTTGACCATTTGATCCACTTCCTCCATACCCACCGGTGCCAGGATAAGGTGTTGATTGTGACCAGGGACGGAAAGTTGAATGAGGTCGAGCCGGTGGGTATTCAGAGGGAATCAACTTAGATGAATCAGTTTCGATGGATGTAGATGGAGTAGATGGTGAACATGAATAAGATGCTGAACAATTATGGTTCATGGGAGAAAAGGTCGTTCCGTCCGGACAGAATTGCAGATAAGATGAACCCGACCAACAGTAATAATAAGAGTTACAATTATCTGGATTCTGGAAGTAGCCATAATTAGATGGACAAACAAACGATGCCGGTGATGGACCTGAAGGTGATTTACGATGTTTAATAATCAATTGATTGTTGGCAATCAAACTACCACTTATAATGGAAATGCTAATTAAAGTTACAACTAAACTACACATGATAATTAAATTTTTATTACAGTGGTGTAGATACTTTTTGATTTAGTTAATCACAATTTAATTGCTCAAATATTGATCAGTGTGAACTCAATCAATCGGACAATAGTAATGATCAGCTAAATGGTGAAAATTGTTTCAATAATTGGTGATTTTACTCAACAAATCACCATGAAATCGATGCCATTGCCAGAATTATAATATTTGACATTTTGGTGAAAAAATTAATTGTCAGCATGATGACTATGAAAATGATGATCAAGGTAGTTTTTAGGTAGCAATTAACTGCTTATGTTATTTTATTACTAGAGAAACTTAATCAGCCTTTGCAATTTTTCACATTGAATACACAATTTATTGTGTGCTAATCAAATTGTTTGATCATCTCTTAGAAATAAAAATGTGTGATAATTTAATTGGCTTTATTTTCAACAATTTAAAACGTTAACCATTACAATTTAATCATGATTTATGGTGTACATCTAGTTGAAGATGAATAAATCTAATTGGATAATATCAAATGATGTAACAAAATTCATTAATATTAATATCGATGATTAATTTTAATCGTGTAAACTATCATTGAGAGGATACAGTTTAAATTGTTCCAGGTCATGATTAAATTGTTAAGTCACGTTGCTTTTTTTTGTCAGTTTAACAACAACTTAACAATTTAGCTAAAATGATTAAAAATCCATATCAAGTCAAGAAAATAGGAAAGTTAATTGAAAACAAATATCATTTTCTTATTTTGAAATGTAATCAGTTAATTGGAAAAACTAATCTAATTGCAATCATCAATTCACTCATCA